AAATAATATCTTTTGCTAACAAGGTAAGATTATACTTATGTTGAAGGTTATTTTTATTTTCAAAACTATAAACCCTATAGTTTGAATATTCTGATTGACACAGGAGCAACAATCTCTAGTTGTCGACCTAATGCTTTGCCGTCAACAAAATGGCAACGCATGAAGCATCCTATAATAATAGTAGGTATCGATGGTAAAGAAACCATTGTTAACCTAAAGGCAAAAAATATACCTGTTGCCTTAAACGATATAAAATTCGTTATACCTAAAATATTATGTTTTCCTAATATGCACGGAGACATACTGTTAGGAAATAATTTTATACATAAATATTTACCCTTTTCAGTTTTTTCTGATTATCTTGTTTTTACTATTGATAAAAAATCAATAGATGTTCCTTTATTATCCAAGCACAATCATGTTTGTGATAATGGTTTTCAACCAGAAATAACCCATATTTCTGAACTTAAAGCTATTAATGAAAAACATTGGCTTTATAGAATTTTACAGGAAAACTTCAGTGAAGACCCATTGAAGCTTTGGAAGCACAGTCCAAGATATTGTGAACTTACTCTTCAGTCTCCAAAAGAGATTATACAAGTAAAACCAATGATCTATACCAAACAGGATATAGATGAATTTGAAGTTCAAATTTCAAATTGCTCGACAAAGGTCTGATAGAACCAACTACTAGTCCACACTCCAGTCCAGCGTTAATGGTAAGAAACCATTCTGAGATTAAACGAGGTAAATCCCGTATGGTTATTAATTACAAGAAATTAAACCAAAATCTTGTTTTTGATGGCTATTTTATCCATTGTAAAGATGTTTTAATTAATTTAGCAAAACATGCTAAATATTTTTCTAAATTTGATTGTAAGTCAAGTTTTTGGCAAATCATGCTAAGTGAAACCTCTAAACCCCTTACTGCTTTTAGTGCACCAGCAGGCCATTACCAATGGACTGTTATGCCTTTCGATCTATGCAACGCACCTCAAATCTTTCAACGTTGGATGGACAGTATTTTCAGCAAACATAAATAATTTTACTGTGTATATATTGATGATATTTTAATTTTTTCTAATACTCTAGATGAGCACAGGAAACACCTGAATCTTATTGCTTAAGAATTTATTTTACACGGTATTATTTTAAGTCTAAAAAAGGTTGAACTTGAAAAAATCGAAATTGAATTTCTTGGTCTTAATCTTTCTGCAAACGGACTAACCCTGCAGGATCACATTATCTCCAAGATCAGAGACTTTCCAGAAGAACTGAAAAATGTCAAATAGCTACAACAGCTGTTAGGTATACTTAATTATGGTAGGTAATTTTTCAAAAACCTTTCAAAAAGAAAAGCTGTTTTTTACGTAAATTACGTAAAGATAATGATTTTGTCTGGACACCTACCGATTCTGATATTGTCAAACAGATCAAATCAGATTTAACCACTATACCTAAGGTCTATTTACCTAAACAAAGTGACTTGTTAATTTTAGAGACAGATGCCAGTGATGAACATTGGGGATGTGTCTTAAAAGCAAAAAATCTTCATCAAAAAGATGAATTGATTTGTGGATATAATTCTAGTAAGTTCAAACCGAACGAAATAAATTATATTATATTTGAAAAAGAATTATTAGCCATAAAAAATGGTGTACAGCGATTCCACATCTATTTAGCCCCGGAGTTCTTTGTTATCAGAACAGATAACCAAGCAGTCAAAAACTTTCTCCAAAATAGAAAGCTTTCTGATAATCCCAGGCGAATTAAGTGGTACAATTTTCTTTGTTCTTATCATTTTCAGGTAGAGTTCATCAACGGCGACAAAAATCTCCTTGCAGACTTCCTAAGTAGACCTCATGGATCGAGGAAAACACCCAATCCATGATAATGGTGGATGAAGAACTGTAAAGAAAAAACCAGGTAAAAAATTCTCTTCTTTTTTTTCCTCTTCTACTCCTTCTTCTCCAAGACCCCAGATCTCTAGAAATCCTAACCAAGGATTTAATTTTATAATAATCCTAACCAAGGATTATATCTCTACCAACAACCTCTTTATCGACCCTCTTTCATGAGAATTCAACCCGAATATTCACAGTTTACTCAGAATCCAAACGATTGGACTCCTATGAGTTATTCTCAAATAGTTTCTTCCACAGAACAACTGTTGGAACGAACAAAATTCTCTAACCCAAAGATAAAAGATTTTTACAATCTTGGACTTGAACCACAAGTCTATAATTTGTTAAACAAAGTATGGAAATCCCATCTCTCAGAAAACAAAACTAGCTTTCAAAAAGGGATGACCAATTTAGCTAAGTTCTTAGTCAAACAGGCTAAAGAATTTTAGAATTTTAAAGAAATAGCTTTCCAAAGTCTTCTATCAACAAATCTGCTAAAACAACAAGATATTGATTTCTTTGCTTTGGAAAAAAAATTAGTACAGTCTTCAAGAGATAAACAATTTCTTGAATTTATGTGAATATTTTGAGAAAGATAATTTTATTTCTTCTAAGCTAAACAAGCTTAAAAGAATTCTTCTCTTCGAAAAAGCTGCGATATTCTTAACCCAAGAATTATTTCAGCAAATTAATTTTTCTATTTTACAGTCAACAAAAAAACTGTTAGTTGAAAGGTTTTCAGATTATTATACTTCTACTTATATGAATAATACATCTTTTGGTGAGTACATACCTAAACTAAAGTTTCGACTTGACCACAAAAGTTTTGATATAAAAAGTATTGAACTTGGTTTAGTTGGACAAATAACTGTACAAAATTATTCTTTTCACCTTTTAAAAGATTTTCCAGCTTTTATAAAGCACCACTTTATTGAATGTATAAAATGGTCAAAACACCTTTTTTACGTTCATTTTACTATATACAGTTTTTTGGGTACCTTTCAACGAGAAAGATTTTACCAACCCTACCAAATCTGGGAATTTGATACCGTATCCGGTGGACACTTTCTTGAACCCTATGATATACTTGATCCACCCATAGACCACATCGAATTCTCTAATGATTTAAACAAAATCATCTCTAAATATACCAACCCAAACTCCTATCACTTCCAAACAGGAGCAGACCTAATGGACAAAGCAAAATTCTTTCTCCATTTAGCCACCAAACAAGACTATCCAAAAATAACCTGTTGGACTGATGGTAGACGCATTTTTGTTAAAAGATTCATTGAACCACATGAAGATCTTGACATAAAAAATGCACCAAAAGCAATTGAGCTTTTGGATAAATTATCTAAAATGGAAGATCTTGATCATCCAATTGATCTACTATACTAGTATCAAGAAAGATGGCAGATGTGGAACAAATCACATTCATGATCTCCACAATCACCCCAGTCCCTTAACGCACTGGATGAAGAATTCCATAACTTAACCAATGCTATGGAAGGATAAACTGTGTAAATTCTAATCCAGAATAAGCCAGAACAGACAGTCGACACAAAAGGATAAAACTCAATTCAGCGCCAACGACTAGCAAACAGAAAACACTGTAGTAGTCAACTGTAGCAGAAGATAAAATGTCACTGTAACAGTCACTGTAGCAGAAAAAGACAGAGACCTACTACGGAAGACACTGTAGCAAGTCACTGTAGTGGTACTGTAGATAAAATTCTACTGTACATTGTAACGGGCAACTGTACAGAGTCACTGTTTATAGGTTAGAATTTTTCTGTTTAAAGCCTCATTGTATCTTCGCTCAAGAAGGCAAATTCTTCACACCCTCTCTCTCTTACACTTTCTTTCTCTATCTCCTTTTGTCCTCTAAACCATATATATAGATATATAGATAAAGCTTTCGTAATCTTTTATACATTGATCCTTTCCACACCCCCCTTGTAAATGATATCAGAGCTAGTTCACGAGATGGTTAAATCAGGTGTACATGATCCAAGGTTCTCACAGTGTGATCTGTGGCGAAGCATTGGCTCTTGCTTGGACATGTCCCGACTGTGGCCAACCACCACGCAGGGTTGTTGGGTCGAAAGGCTTAACGAAAACTAGCTTCTAAAGTACCCTTACAGGCCACCCCTTCGGGAACCTGACTGTAAATGGTATCAGAGCCAATGTTTCAGTTTCCTCTTCTACAGGTACAACAACTACCAACGAAGAAGGTATGGTTAAACTCAAAAATATTATGAGAAAAACTCATTTTATTTCTGATGATAAAATTAAAGAATTACAACTCATCAAACCAGATGAGATTTACAAGACAAGTTGGTTTAAAAAGTTCCAACCTTGGTCTAAACGCCATATAGAAAAACTATCTGGTGATACTGTCACTACTGACACTGAACAAGGCTCAGTAGAAATTTCTCTTTTTACCAAAAAAAAAAAAATATAGTTTTCTTTCTAAATATCCAAAGGTCAAATACATCCATATAGGAATGATTTTGATCACCATTAAACCACAATAGGTGCAGTTAGTAAACGCACCAATTTCTTTTTTCGTTTTTATTTTTTTATTCTTTCAATTATATTTTAAAGACAATAATATTATTACATTTTAACTTTTTTTCTTTTATTTTTATTTAAAAATTTTGAAATAATTTTGTTAAATTTTTGTCAATAATTTAATATAATAAAAAGTATTATTTAATATATTATTTATATTAATTTTTAATTATTTATTAGAAAATTATTATTTGATATAAAAATAATTTTTTAATTTTTTAAATATTAAATAATTTAAAATTTTATTATATATAGTTTTTATTTTAATGTTTTTATTTTTTAACGATCATTTTATTTTTTATTACAATTTATCTTTTCAATAATACAATTTATCTTATCATTATTGAAGCATTTGCATCAAAATATTTTTTATCACTGATTTTAATTTTATTATTATAATAATTAATCTTATTTCATCATTATTTTTAATTTCATTAAAATTAATTTTACCTTCTAATCCAAACGGATCTTTAATTCCCTTTTATCTATATATTTTTTCTGTCGGCTGAGACAGTTAAAGAATTCGAGATTCTTTTTTTTTTGACAAAAGACTCAAATCCAATCTCAAATGAAGTGACACATTGTTAACGAATAATACTTTAGAATTATTCTAATTCTAGTACTACAAATTAAACTATATGCATTTTGCCTTCGCTCAAAGTCAAAGGCAATGGCAAACTGTCACAGAAGTTAAAGAATTCCGTTCATCCCAGGAAACTTTTTCATTTTGAATTTAGACAGAACAAGCAAGCGTTGGTTATTTTTGCCCTTCTACGCACCACGATTTATTACCGTCCCACCTGTCTCATTTGCTATCTCTCAAGGTATGTTTTGGTAAGAGAGAGAGAGTTCATGAAATTGTCTCCCACTTTTATCAACCCAAAAATGGAGAAGACGAAAAGCAACAAAAAACCTCAGAGATTCATTGTCAATCTCAAGAACCTTCCTCCTATCGATCCTTCAATCATCATCCCACTCTATCAGGCAAATACCTTAAAGCATAACACAAATTAAGGTGTTCAATCAATCATCTGTCTGAAATTTCTGTTTCTTTTTGTGTCTTTCCAGGATAAATATGAGAACGCCAGTTCCAGAAATGAACCTAATGTACCGAGGCCAGGCTCCAAAGAAGGAACAAAGCTGTTAGAATTTGATCAGGTACCCAGAAAAGCAGGCATGGCTGACAGAAATTTAAGACAGAATATGGAGGTCGAGGAAGACTTTTGTTTATCTTCAACCAAGTTAATAGACCCCAACAGCACCAAGGACTTCAACTTCAACAAGGAGAATGAGATTTGCCATAGTAACTTTGCTGTTGAAGGTAAGGTCCTGTCAATTCTGAAATTTCAAGGAGTTTTTTTCCGTTCAATTCTCAATTGTATTTCCAGCTTTTTTTTTTTTTTAAATTTAAATCTAATTATGGAAGTATTAAGCTATCCTCCAGTTAGCTTTACTCACAAATGATTATAAATACTATATAATATAAGAACATTGCTATAAATAGTATTTTAACTAACCTTAAAAATATCCTTAATTAAGATATTCGGTTGTAAAAAAATCTAAAACATAAGTAAAACAAAATTATATTAATTGATTAAAATAAATAAATAAGAGTCAATTGATTATAACATTGCTACAAATAGCATTTTGTTCTCTCAAAATTGAGATAGGATACTCATGAGCAAATTTTAAAACTAAGTAAAACTAAAATTATACTAATTGATTAAAATGAATAAATAATTAAAAGTAAACACTGATTATAACATTAGTGTTCATGCATTTTTTTCTCCCAAAATAGGGATAATAATGAAATTATTAAACAAAAATAAAAATAAGATATGGATCTTTCATTACATGGAATTAAGATTATAAACTTTTATTAATTATAACGAATATCTTGGCATAAGTAGTAAGAAATATTCCGTCAAAATCTTTTGGTTGGCTTATATAATCTATAAAAAAAATGCTTATTTGAATTTATTTAGAAGAGTTGGATGAAAAAAAATATAATTCAGAGAATGCTAATTTAATAATTCTAACCATTGGACTTTATTAACTTATTTTCAAATTTAGTGATTATAATTATAATGAAATAAGAACTTATAACCTTATGGAACACTTATTTCAACTTTTTTTTTTTAAATAAAGATCAAAGGCTTATTTTGGTATTATCCTCCCAAAATGTTTACAATTTAAAATTTAAATTTCTCAAGATATTATTTGCTTTTTTACCCTTGTTATAACCTCTAGATCCGGGGATCTATCGCTAGATATTGACTTAAGAGAGTCGCCACCAATCTTTTTTTATCTAGGTGCGATTGACCACATAAAGAATCTGTCCTTTTAGAGAACACCTAAGATTAAGGGTCCCTAAAAGAATAGGTTCAGGTCTACAAACCATAACAGGGTTCGGGAGTTCGGTTACGTGTGAGGAAGGTTATAACACTCTCACAACGCCCATCAAAAGATGGTACTAGCTTAAATTTGTGTTATCCAAAAACCTTAAAATTTTACCAAGTAATTAATTATTGGAAATTATTCTCAATTGACTCTAATACTTTTAGCAAAAAATTGAGAAAATTCCCTCACCTCAAGAGTATGCAAGAAAAACTACTGTTTCACTTGCAGAGGCTCCATCGTCGGATTAGTTAAAGAAAAATCAAAATCAAAATCAAAATAGAAAGGAAGGGGAGAATGATTGTTCTTGTGTGGGAAAAATTGATACTTTCAATTTTTCCCCAAAAATATTTTTTGAAAATTTATTTTTAAGGAAAATTGATACTTTCAACCTTTCCTCAAAAATATATTTTTTTGAAACTTTGGTTTCCAAGGAAAATTGATACTTTCAACTTTTCCTCAAAAATCTTTTTTTTTTTTGAAAATTTATTTTTAAGGAAAATTGATACTTTCAACTTTTTCCTAAAAATATTTTTTCGAAAATTTTGATTTTCAAGGAAAATTGATACTTTCAACTTTTCCCCAAAAACATTTTTTTGAAAATTTATTTTTAAGAAAAATTGATACTTTCAACTTTTTCCCAAAATATTTTTTGAAAATTTATTTTTAAGGAAAATTGATACTTTCAACTTTTCCTCAAAAATATCTTTTTGAAACTTTGATTTTCAAGGAGAATTGATACTTTCAACTTTTTCTCAAAAATCTTTTTTTGGAAATTTATTTTTAAGAAAAATTAATACATTCAACTTTTCCTCAAAAATATTTTTTTGAAACTTTGATTTCCAAGAAAACTTGATACTTTCAACTTTTCCTCAAAAATATTCTTTTTTGAAACTTTGATTTTTATTTAAAGAAAATAGAACAAAATAAAAGTGAAAATAAATAAAGATAAAAAATAAAGAAAAGTAAAACAAAAATAAAAATAAGATAAAGATAAAAAATATTAAATAAACCTAATCTAATAAAAAAATAAAAAAACAAATAAATGAAAAAAAATTCAAAAAAAAAAAAAAACCTGGAGCGGCTCGGATCGCGGCTCAGCTCGGTTCAGTTTAAGGAAAAGAAAACGGCTCGGAGAAGCGGCTTTGGAGCTCGGCTCGGCTTGGAGAAGGCAGAAACGCGCGGGTCAGGAAGCGGGTCGACGCTCGGGTCGGGTCAGATCTCGGTAAAACGCACGGATCCTCTAGGTTACTTAAGGCCAAAACAACGTCGTTTTGAGAGGGTATAAAAGGCACTTCCCTCTGTTTTTCGACAGAACGCTCCTCCCCTCTCTCTCTCTTCTTCCTTTTTCCTCTCCCTTCTCTCTAAAAGGTCGAAGAACTCCGATTGAAGATTCACCGAATTTTGGGTTTTATCACCGAAATCTGGGTTTTTTCGTCGGAAGTTCGTCGGAAGTTGGTCGGATGATTACCGGTTGCTAGGATTCTTCGTCAGAAACTGGGTAGGTCATCGGAAACTTCAAGGTTGACAGGAATTTTCGTCGAAAAATTCAAACTTCGCCGAAAAATTCACTGGAATCTAGAATTTCCAAAAATTCCCAGAAAAAATCACCAAAAAAACTTCAAAAAATTTTTGCTATCTACCAGAACACTCCTAAACTTTTCCTTAGCTCTCTATATGTCCCTATTCTCTCAATTAGTAGCTTTTGCTTACTGTTTTCTGTGTGTCCAGCATCTGTTCCAGGAGGTCCCTTTTATAGGGATTGATCAGGAGTTCTTGATCAATTCTAATTCCTCATTGGACGGAGATTCAATCTTTGAATTCAGTCTGGACTCTCTTGATTGAATTCCCATCCATAGTGGGATTCTTTAACTTTTAATCACAGCCCTCAAAAAAAGAAAAAAAATAATAATGATAACAATCAGATAATTGAAAAAATCAAATAAATGAATAAAAATAAAATTAACAGATAATGAAAATAAGATAAACCCAAAAAATATTACAAGATAAAAAATAATAATAAATAAATTATAATATAATAATAAATATATAACTATATAAAAATACATATAAATATTAATAGAAAAAAATAGATAAATAAATAAAAATATACATATAATAATAATAAATAATAAAATACATAAAATACAAAAAAAAAGAAAAAAGAAAAAAAAAATAACACAAGATAAAAATTGGATTGGGCTTACCCATTTGGGTCAGGCCCAATTGATCTGGGCCTGGACCCAATTGGGTGTCTATAGCTGCCCTTCTTTGCATATTTTCTGTGAAACAGAAATTGCGCAAAGACATAGACACCCAATCAAGACTCAACTCAACATTTTCATTTTTTATTTTTTTTTGTGTTTTCTTTTTTTTGTTTTTTTTTGTTTTTGACCAAAGCTCCTCTAAACAAAGGCTCAACGACTTTGAGAAACATAAATTGCTCCTTTAAACAGAGGCACCACGACTTTTGAAAAGTAAATTGCTCCTCTAAACAGAGGCACCACGACTTTGGAAAATAAATTGCTCCTCTAAACAGAGGCACCACGACTTTGAGAAAGTAAATTGCTCCTCTAAACAGAGGCACCATGACTTTGGAAAAGTAAATTACTCCTCTAAACAGAGGCAACGAAACTTTGAAAAGTAAATTGCTCCTTGATAATCATGTCCAAAGGAGTTGAAATTTGTGTTTGAAGGAATTTCAGGAGATTATGCCCAAAGGTCTTATAAATCAACCCTGATACCAAAAGACATCCTATTTCAAGGATTAGGAACTTACCTGACAAGCTTTTTCTTTTTCAATTCTGCAAAATATCTTCATATCTGTCTTCTCTATGTGGGATGTTGAAACATCCCTGCTTCTTGAATTTATACACTATACTTTTCTGAAAGTAGTGTATGCTGTGCAAATGCATATGAATTTCAATGCATGCTATGCAAATATTGGCCAATTAATTCTTGTTCAATGTATGGTACTCAAATTTCTCAAGCTCTTTTCTTAGGCATCAAGCCCTTTGATTCTTCAAGGATCCAATTACACTGCTCTTCTAAGATTGAACCAAGTAGCTCTCAATTGTTTTTTTCACTCACATTCTTCTTTGTTCAGTTTCTCAATACTTTGGAATAAGCTTCATCAATCAATCATCACTTGACCATCACTCAATGAATTTCTCAGCATTAACAAATTTCAAAACAAGTTTCATCCACCATCACTGGGTCATTATTCATAGGTGTCTCAGCATTTACCGTTCCAAAACAGACTTTGTCCACTAATTGTTCTCATCATTCAATCATAACTTGCAAGTCATATCGACCAATTCATCATTGTACTCATCACTTGGTTATATCACTTTTCAAGATTTGCCCCATTATATTCTTCATTTGATCACATCATATATCCTTCACAACCATCTCTTTTAGGTTTCTACCATCATCTTAGATTTCTTTTCAAATGAATACAAGACTCTTTTAAGCACATATTCATTCACTCAGTATCATTTTAAATCTTGACAAATACAATGCAATCAAGCATTTTCTCAATTCATTCTAGGGGTATAACAATAAGAGAACACAAGGTGAATGAAGATTTATTTTGGTACAAAACAAATGGAAGAGGAAATAAATTGGATACATGTCAATGGGATGCATGGTATGTCCAAATGATGAATACTCAGACAATTCTCAACATTAATTTAGGATTCTTTTTTAAAAACTCATTCCATTTACTGCTGAAGTCATCTTGAGCTTAGCGAACTTTACCCCATTCTTTGAGGGATCTTCAGATGTTTTTGATCTTCCATTCATGTGAGCCATTTGACCTGGATCTTTTTCTATCAAAATCAACCTTTTAGGTTTTCAATTTGAATCTCCTTTTTTTCATTTTTTCATTTCTTTCTTCTTTATTTTTTTTTTGTTTTTTTCTTC